AAACAGACCAAAACAACCACGGACAAAAAAAAAATATACCCAAAAGCCAGCCGAACACATTTCCCAAAACCCATCTTTGAATAAATCAAGATTTGCTTTTGTTTTCATTCAAAACTGTCAAAAGATATACAAGTTTTCAGTGGTCAATAACCTTCTAAATTTTTCGCTTATGAAAGTTCGGTTTTAATCTTCCTGCTGCCTCCCCAAAAAACACTGCAAAGAATTCTGAAGGATAAGAGAAAATTTCCTAGGTTTTCTTACCAGTCTAAGTTTGTTCCATAAAAGGCTCTGAAAAGGAGCTTTGGGCAGCGGGTTCTAGCATCATTACTTAGATCAATATGTTCAGGGAACATGGATGACTGTGCATCTTTTCCCTTCTTCACCTATGTGCAACATAAATTGTGCTTTGTGAAAAAAAGCAAACCTCTAACCTCCCCTGCCCAGGGAAATGGGAAATTGTAGCTGTCTCTAAAGAACTGAAAGATTACAGAGGCTAATTTAGGTATCTGCAACACTGTAACAACAGTAACAAGTCAATGCATACAGGATTAATTTACTCTGCCAGAAGGGTAAATTAGCCTACGCTGCATTTTGTGTGATGCTTTGGCCATCTTGTTGAAGTACCTGAGTTAGTTCACATGCAGTTAACTTCTCACCGCACTATCAACCACAGCCACTGCACAGCTGCAGAATCAAATAAGCTTGTAATACAACTGTTACCTTCTTGGCATTACAAGTAGCACCACATAAGGACATCTTACAGAATTCACAGGGTCGTTTTGTGTTCCTCCTTGACATATCACAGATATAGATGTATTTCTGAAGCAGGCTAGAATTGCTACTGGAGATATGTGAGCGTATTTTTGACTAGTAAGCTATTACCTTCAGAAGTCTGTTCAGAATAGGATGAATAATTCTTCTTAGTGCAAGACTATTTGACTGTGCTTAATCAGCCCCACAACCAAACTATCAGGATAATAACCAAACATCATGGTACTACAACAAACTTATTATTTAAAATAATTTTTAAACTTCAAATTTGATTAGTGCTCCTTCCAGGATTAAACAGCTCCAAAGAAAGAACCAAATCAACTGGTGCCCTGTCCTACAGAACTTAGCACCGTGTTTCTGGTCTAAGTCAAGTTTTCAAATTAATCCGTCAACAGGTTGGGTTTTCCTTTTTTTGGGGAGTGGAGGAGTGTGGAGGAGGGAGGGGAAGCTATCATGAAAGATAGCATTAATCCAGAGAGCAGGAATATGATTTCCAGAAATACACAGCTAAACTTTGCATTTAGGATTGTACAACCAAAGTAATGTATGGAAAAGTATATCTCAATTTCATGCTTATAAAAACAAAAGCCATACAAGAGTTGTTCTACATCTTTCCTATCGAAATCTTTCAACCTTGCGCTATGTTCTGCACTACAACTAACATTTTATACTGACCTTCATATTTCCTAATCGTCTTGTCCTGTCAACCACAAGCAGCTTCTTAATAAGGTCTCTGCAGTAAAGAAAAAGTGTTCTCTGTTAAACAAAAGTAATTTATATTTGACTATCATACAAATCTCACAGAATATGAGCATACTTCCTTTTGACTAGCCAATACTGTGCATAATTTACCTATTCATTTCCTTCATATTTTAAGACACTTTAGAGTGAATGATAAAAAGGAATAACCTGTTCCAAAAGGAACTTGCAGAATTCTTACAAGTTTCTTTGTTTCTTGAAAGAGTCTAAATGGAGGAAAAAAACAACCAAATAAAAACTTTCTCTCTCCTCTCTGCCCACCCCCAAGTAGTACCATATCTTTCTTTGTATTTTGGTATTTTACTGGGCATTCCAAATCTCAAAATGGATCTCAAACCTACTTGGCAGAACACAACCCTGATATATATATAAAAAATACAGATAAAGCTGCATCCTCAAGTTTATACATTGAGATTTAAATTCTGTGCCAGCTAAATATTCAGAGAAACCATGGAAGAGCTAGTCATCTGCCTAATACTAGTCATATCTATAACCTTTAATTTCATTGAAAAAGAAAAGCTTCCCCTGATCTTCTAGTTCATAAAGTTCATACAGTTCTATATAAAGCTAAATCAACATTTTAAAAGATGAGCGTAAATTTAGAGACATAAGGACTTCCATTTTATTAGCAAACCGCTTTAAATATTAAACACTGAAAAACTCCAACATAAATCAAACTGAGTATCACAATTTATTGAGTTAGCTTGATTACCTATGAGTTGAGAGAAAAAAAATCTCGCTTCACATTTCTATAATCAGTTACTTTCTATCTCAAAGATTATTTTGCTATTTTAGAATTCATTGCATAAAATACCAATGACAGGAAAGAACAAAGCTTTAGCCACCCCGCTTATTTCTACAGCCTCAAATAGACCTGAGAGATGCAATACTGCATGAAATGCTGGGGATCTAAAGAATATGGCTAATTCCAATTCTTAACTTTGCAGAAGGTTTAAAAAAAACACAAACAAACAAACAAAACCCCCCACAAACCAAAAATCCATCTTTATTTACAGAAAAGAATGCAAACATACTAATGACACTCCTGCCTCTCTCCACCCCTAACTAACACTTGCTATCCCAAAAGAAAAACAGTATTCTGTCACCTATCCTTGAAATCACAAAAGTATATGCACAAAGAATACATGAACTGTGAGTGAATGTGCTAGACTGTTTGAAAAGCTGTTGTGTTTGGCAGGAATATAGTTCTAAAATTCAACTGGAAAAATATCCAATTGTCAGATAAAAGGAAAATTAAAAAGAATCAAGGTAGAAAGCAATTTTTAAAACTCTCATGATCATTCTGGTCAATGAATGTGTGGATTACATTAAATCATATGACTGACTCCTTTTACAGTCACCTTTGCAGATATACCTCCTTCTAGCTCTTCACAAAGCAACTGTTCCTTATGGAGAAGGCTACACAAATGCCTATTAACCAGATTTTAAAACCAAAGTAGGACCGAAAAAGAAATCTAGAAATCCGGAACTAGATTCACAGCCTATATGGCTAAATGGAGTTTCCTATTTCTATATAACTAGAAAGCATTCAACGGATCATTTTTGGCTTGTTTCAAAAATTAATCTTAGAAAAGCACAGTTAAGGCATGAGCTTGCTCAGCGATACTGTGTTGTCACTAAAGATGAAGACATTTGCTGCCTTCAATAGAACAAATCTCCATTAAATTGAATCAAGTAACAAGATAATTTAGTGCTTCTTTATTACATAGTTTCTAAAGAATAATTTAGAAATTATCATGTTAAAGTCAATGGCATAGATATGTTGCTGTAAGTATTCGGGGAATGAAATTCTACACCAAGGTATTTCCAGAACAATAATCATTAAACTACTGTAGCACTTTCACTTGGTATTTTCCAAAACTGTCTTGGTAAAGAAAAGTTTACAAACCAAAATTAAAAAAAAAAAAAAAAAAGAAAAAAAAAGAAAAATATAAAGAAATAACTTATAAACTCATTAGAAAAAGAAAGAAATATGTTTTATAAGAAATGAAGTAACAAAACTCTGCCGACAGTCTTATTTTGGAATTTCTAATTGGTTAATTTATCATCATCATGGCATAAGCTGCTCTTCAGAAGAGACCTGAACTAATCGTCAAATGTGTCAAAGACTTCATGTATACAGGACAAAGGACTTGGAGAAAATATCTGATCAAATTGCAAAGAGGCTAACAAAAAGGACACAGTAGAGATGCTAGCTCAGGCCAGAAGGAACAGCACTTACACAAGACACACAGCAGTTACACAGCACAGTAAGAGACAGTGAATGTCATGAAGCAAGAGGGAAAGCAAAAGTGGTACAAATTCAAAAGGTAAAAAGCGTGGGAGGGTGACAGGGGGTAGGCGGGTAGAAAAATGTCAACCAGTAAGTTTATGTAGTACATCTAGGTAGAAAAGTTTTCTCAGAGTTCAAAAAGGAAAATAGTTTTGCTGCCTAAGAGCAGAGAGTTAAAGTTCAATTGTTATCAACACTGTATAGCACCAATACTTCAGACATAGCCTGGATGTGACAGGACCCAAGATAGTCTTCATCCTTGCTGAGATACCAACTGACAGGAAGAAGAGAGAGAAAACAAATGGGATACAAGTAAGGTAAGCAGCAGACTGTCGTCTTAGGACAAAACAATCTTGGCACTTGCTTTAAGTTAATGGTGCAGAGATGTCAAAGTTCTGCACATTGTGGTTTAAACAAGGAAAAGGGGTTGATGGAACAAGAGAGATACATTATGCTCACAACTCACTGCAGAAAACAGGTGAAGCCATGCAAATGAATGCAATTACCCAAAGCCAGGGTGTGAGAGGAGGAAAGCCCAAGCTAGAATCCCACGAGACCCCTTAAAAGCAGGATTGTATTGTGAATGAGCTGCCAAGCACACAAGAACACCTGGATAAGAAAAGCTGGGAAAGAGGTGTATCAACAACTATGCTGATTAATGTACCCTACAATTCATTAACAGTCAGGTCTAGACTGAAGAGCAAAACCTTCGTATGCATGCTTACTACCAAAACTAGGAAACTTCACAGCATCAGGTGTCTTCTAGATAGCAGAAATCAGTGTTCATCTGTGAATTTTGAGCACAAACAGAAGGTAACAGCATCTCTACTTTTAAATGCTTTCACTATGTTAGACAGGTTGCTAGTGAAAATAACCTAAGCTGTTCATCTTATGCCCACAACCTTATACTTTACTGCACAAAATACTACGTGAGATACTCTGTTTTCTTCCTAAGACAGACTGGGTTGGGAAGACCAGACAATGAGACTACAATAAATTGGAAACACCATCAAGATATTAAAGGAAAACTCTGTTAAGAAAAGACACAAATATGAGACACTAATCAACCTAAGATGATGTAGATGTGCTTGATTCAGTGCACCTGATGATTCAATGGAAGCTTAAAAAATTCTTCCCAAATGATAATTTTTGCAAGAGAATTCATAAAAGTTCAGAGAAAGTTGAACAGACTTGCCATACAACATTTTATCTATTTACCTAGTGGTGACAGTAGCAAGTGCCATCTCTACAGCCACTTCTTCAAAATCCCTTGAACAATTAACCTGAGAATGTAAAAATAACTTCCTGTCCTCACTCCCTCAATCACCTCTGCTTCTAAGGAGAAACTTAAAGTTTAAAATTGCACTTCCTCGGTTCTAATGTTTTCTAACAGTTATTTCAACTATGGAATTTTTAAATGGGGGGGAAAAAAGCATTTCATCTGCAATATACCTATAACAACTGCAAAATACTGTGAATAAACCCACACGTACATATATAAGACTGTATACTGAACTGGGGCCCTGCTGTCAGAAGCGGGAGTCGATTTTACACTGGAGCTTCTGAAGTATCAGTGAGTTAATTCAAGTAGTCATGTTGAGAGTGATTTAACTGTTACATATGCATACAAAGGAACAGTTTAGTGTTTGCTTCCTGCTCTCCTAATTTTTACTCATATTAAATCATGTCCTCATATTTCTCCCCTTTTCTTTCTTCCAGGCACCAACCTGGTACCAATGAGCTTTGTACAAGGTGGAAAAGCATTTAACATTCCAAAATATGCAGAAAAGTAAGAAAGGAAGATACTATCTTACAACTGTATCGCCACCTTGAAGTCTACCAAACACACAATTTTACTTGGACTGCAAGAGTAAATGTTATCTAAAATATTTTCTAAAATGGTGTTTTAGAAAATCAGAATCTGGTATCTGGTCTTTTATGAAGATCCTTTAGAAACAGTGCTCAGGAGGTGTTTAGAATATAAAAGACAGTGTTGGGAATCATGGACTTACTTTACATATAAATCCAAATGCCTCGGGAAATCTATTTTGCCAGCAAGAATCTTCTGATATATACCAAATGGATTGTCATCAAAAAATGGAGGAAACCTATTTTAATACAGCAAATTTTTAGAGGTTAGAAAAAGAATTTCTAACAATCTTAAAAACAACATTATGTTATAGTAATTCCCCTCAGAAATTATTGATTATATTGTTGGATTTGGTAGTGTATCATCAATCAAATACTAACTTGAAGAGTAACTTAAGACTGCTATTACAAAATAGAAAACATTTTTGTATGCAACACATTGAATATAGAATTACTGAAATATTACAAGAGAGATTTTTGTTACATTAACAGAGTAAAAATATAATTTATGAAACAAATTTTCAGTGTTAAAGTAAAAAATGCTTTGCCTTTATCTATAAAACCCTGGGGGTATACTTTCCAAAACAGCATTACCATTTTTATCTTGTCCTGTAACCGCAGGCATACTCTTATTCACTAGTACCTATCTAAAGTGTCAAAGGACCCTCATATGAATAGACTGTCCACTTCAGTAGTTTATTGTACTTCTTGAATTCACGTGTATGTTTTGTTAGAGAAGGTTTGAAAGAGACGGACTGTTTGGAACCTGAAATTCTTTCTGTCCTGGTTTTGGCAGGACAGAATTAATTTTCCTCCTAGCAGCTGGTGTAGTGCTGTGTTTTGGATTTAGAATGAGAATAATGTTGATAACACACTGATGTTTTAGTTGTTGGCAAGCAGTAAAGGACTTTTCAGCTTCTCATACTGCCCTGCCAATGCGAAGGCGAGGGTGCACAAGAAGCTGGGAGGGGATGCAGCCAGGGCAGCTGACCCAGACTGACCAAAGGGATATTCCATACTATATGATGTCATGCTCTGTATATAGCCGGGGTGTGGGCCAGGAGATGGGGCAGCTCGGGGTCTTGCTGAGCATCGACTTTGGGTGGTGAGAAATTGTGCTGTTTCACTGATTTTGTTTATCATCATCATCTTCCTTTTCCGTCCTATTAAACTGTCTTTACCTCAACCCACAAGTTGAATTTTTTTTTTATTCTATTCCTTTTCAATTTTCTCCCCTATTCCAGTGGGAGGGGCCATGTGAGTGATTGGCTGTGTAGTTGTTTTAGCTGCCATCTGGGTTAAACCACAACACTCTTGAAGTGCAGCTGTCTTTCTGTGTTGGACAGATAAAGTACTTATTTCATAATTTTCCCAAGATGATCAGTAAATCAAGATGCAATTCAAGTTCTACACCATTTTCTAGAAAGTTCTTCATGAAGTTATGAGCTAACAGAGAGACTACTTCTCGTCTTACAGCTATAGTAAGAATTAAGAGAGTTTTCTGTTGTCCACCCTTTACTAGTATAATACATACACTGATTACTGCAAGAGGCTCGGAGTATGGTTGCATCAGTAGAGTCAGTATTTAACATGTATAAAATTTTCTCACACCAGACAGACAATCATATAAAGTTTCTTTTTTAGTCAGGGAACATTGTCTTCACATTCTCCAAAGCAAGTTGACAAACAGTACACTCAATTTCCAATTTTGTATTTGTCATTACTAATTGGCATCTATAAATGCATAAAGTAATTAGAATAAGACTTTGTAACTATGTATTACAAAGGCATCAGCTACAGTAAGCAGAATGATATGAAATGCAGGGTTTTTTCCTTCTATCTCCAAACATTCTGTACACTATCGAGGTGTGAAATCCAGAAGAATAAGAACTATGTATAGGTTTTTACATATTTAAATGTTTAAATTTCTCTTTGCTTTCCCACTTTGAAAATCTGAAATTACTATCTAGAATTCTTGAGAGAAATTTAAGTCACACTTGGCTATATCATAATTTAATGGCAATACAGCTTAAAGTGCATTTGGACTGTATGCAAAATGAGAATAGCTTTAAAAAATTACATAGTTTTCTTACGGACAAACCAAATAACTTGACTTTGATACTACTTGTAAATGTCAATCTGCAACACAGCACAGATTGTAGACAAAACAACGCAAGTACTGTGCTGGAAGCTACCTAATAAATCAACAACACCAACCCTTGAGTTTCAGACTGTCTTCACACAATAACACAAACAGCTGCCTTTTTTCCACTAACTGAAAAGAAGCTGAAAAAAATATCTCTGTATATGAGACAACAGCTGCAAACTATTCCTTTTGCTAACTGATGCATAACAATGGCACTGACATTGGTCTCAAAGATAAAAGATAGTGTTAACAGTGAAGAAGAGAAGTTGTAAAACCTCAAGGGAAAATACACAGGGCTGAGAATATGAAACCATAGACAGGAACCATCAGCTACCTAAAATGATAGACCAGCACATCACGTATGAAAAAAAAAAATTAAAACACAAAGCCCTCATTAAATGAGAAAATTCAGTTAGCTACATATCTGATGACACTAAAAGTATGACTTAACATATCTACAGTTAAATAACAAGTATATTTTCCTCTATGGTAGACCGTAACTCAAAATAAATAGATCTTTCAACTCTTTCTATTGACAGTTAGTTTAGTCTATTTTGATTAAGTCTATGAACTCGATATTACTAATCTGATGTGTAAAGATTTGTTCTCACACATGGTTCTCCCTGTTCTTTCCCTTTCCTACATTTTACTATCTTAAACCTAAATGGGACCTTGCCTTAAGTCTAGTATGTGCCGAACTAGAATTCCATGGGCCTCTAGAGATTAAGTTAGAGAAATAAGACACTGCAGAACAGGAAAGTGTGGTTTTGTTTGTTTGTTTTTTTAAGAGACCATTTCCTCATGCACACATATACCAGTTCTTTTCAATTGCTTTTGGGGTTCAGGAAGAGTAACTTCAGGAAATAACTACCAAATGTCTTAAGTAATTTACTTGTAGACAATAACTTAGTCTTGAAGTCAGGTTTTGTTCACCTTCAAATAATTTTCATATTTCTTAAATCATCTTCAAATTTCAAAGGATAAAGTTACCTGTTAAAGGACTAGTTTTGCATTGAAAGACTTGATAGTAAATATCAAGCCACATCTTGAGTTGGCAGTAAAAAGCATTTTAAAATATGACTGCCAGCAACAGCAAAAAGCTGATAAAATACTAAAAGCATACGCCCTATGTGACAACCTGCCCTCCTAAAGAAAACGCACACAAGCTACAATCCCTCTCCCCTTCAACCCTGCAAACCCCAGAATCTCAAAAATCCTAAGGAAGTAGCATCAATATATGCACTCCTCCCCCCAAAAAAACCACACACACCCCAAAAAACCCCAAACCAAAACCTCCAAACAAAAAAAACCCAAACAAACTTGGGTGGAGTCCCTATCCCAGCTTTGGATCAGCACTCCACCTGAACACTGAAAAATAACAAAAAGCATCCAATCATTATGAAGAGCATATCTACACAAACACTGTAGTAAAAACCATTACAAAATCACTTGTAGCAGACAGCTGCTCTGTCCATCAGCCTATATAAGATCTCAGTTGCCTTTTAGAAATGTGTAATTTATCTCTATTGCTTAAGAGTCTCTACAGCCAAAGTGTTTATATTAGGCTTGGGGGAATCCAGATATCATCACTTGTGTCAGATAGCATCAGGACACAGAAGATCCTCCTAGAAATGATTGCAGCTGCTCCCTTTTATTATGAAGAATATAAACCAGTCAGTCATACTTCAGTAGAATATGTATCAGTCATACTTCAGTGTCCTGCCGTCTTGAAGTCTCACCGGCTCCAGAGATGAGATCTTGCCTATCACCAGTAGTCAGTATGTTAACTTTGGAAACCATGTTTCTATTACTGCTCTAGTGGAAAGAATCCTATCAACATTGCTGTAAGGCATAGAAAGGAAAAATGCCCAACATCCACTTAGACTGAGACCAAACAGAAAGTGGTCCCACCAAAACCCATGGCAGGAAGGTAAATCACTCAGACTACAGCTAGGAGATTGCAGCACCAGACACTTTTATCCACACTCTTCATGCTGTCTAGTACTATGATTAGTGGCCACAAGGCTGCTGGGAATCCCTCCAAGAAGGATTCCCTTGACCAACTTTGGCTGCTCACCCTTACAGGGAGTGGTGGAAGAAAGGTAAAGCCTGGCATCTGCACAGATCAGCCTAAATAAGTAACGACTTTTTATTAGACCTGTCAGCCAAGCCCGTCTGGGTCAGTAGGGAACTAATAGTACATGTTAATGTCTTTTCTGTCCAGAAGTTGCCTTGAGATTCAAAGAAAATGAATATGCAAGCTTTCAGGACATTAAGAAAGCAAGCAGTGGACAGCAATGCTGTCCTGGCATACAGTTTTGATGCTATTGGGTGGACTTCTTCACAGCAAAATGCACATGATGGATTGGAGATCTGAAGTGATTGTCCATCATGGGAACTGTCTGCTCAGGCAATCTGATGAGCTTGTCCAAAGGCCAGAAGAGTCACCAAAGTTACCCTGAGCTGACAGTACTGTATACAAAAAAGAAGGAATAAATTCATGCAAGGATGTTTTTGTTCCAACCACTCTAGGGGGCTGCAGACCCACAATGAAAGGCCACAGAAGAAACGCGATGCACACTCAAGGAGCGAGAAGGCACAGAGCACACTGAGCTTGGAATCAAGAAGTTCTAAGCACTATGAAACCAAAACTGATGAAATAGAGACTACATTTCTTCTGAAGCAATGAAAGCCTTGCTTTCACCTGCATTTGTTCTACTGCATCGACTATGGCAAAACTGATTTCTTTCAAAATTCTCATTTATTTTTTTTTTTTTAAACCAAGTATCTTCAAAAGATATGGCCATGACAAAAAGCAAGGAAAAACATTCAGGTGCCCTTTTCAGGACACAAGCAGAATTTCACCTTCTCCCTAAACTAGTTATTTATTTTACTGTATTTATGTAGTTTACTGTAAACAGTATTTCTTTTTTGAAATCAGAGTAAATTAAGACAATTGCTTTTTTCCTACCTCATACTTAAAAGTCAGAAACAGTTAATTATACTAATGCCAGAAAGTCCCTCTTCAGTTTGAATTTGTATCTTTTGGAAACACTGCTTATCAAGCAAATTCCAAAGCATCAAAAGCAGCATTTGAGCAAACTGATTTCCAAATAGACCTTTCAAGCTTTTCCCTTGTTCTTTTTAACTTTGATTTAAAGAAAACCAGTGCTCCGTAGTACTACAAGCTGTACTAATGAAAGTCTTACTACTTGTCACTATGCATTTTCACAGACTAGCGCTCCCACCGCAAATATTATTTCACTAAGCTAGAAATTAATTATTGAAGTTTCAAAGAAAACTGATAGTGGTCGTCTTCATCCTTTAAATATAAATTATTCTATGTATAAAAATCTAAACATCAACAAAACCTGAATTTCCAGAATGGATAAGGAAAAGAGCAGCTGTTAAAAAAATCTTAAGTAAAAAAACCAAACCAAAACACAACCCCATACCAAAAGCAAACCATCAAACAAACCCAACAAACCTAAAAAATTAAAAAATCCCAGTAACAACAGTGAAGTTGGAGAGAGACTGTTTACAAGGGCACGTAGTGATAGGATGAGAGGTAATGGCCTTAAGCTGAAGGAGGGTAGATTCAGATTAGATAGTAGGAAGAAATTCTTCACTACAAGGGTGGTGAGGCACTGGAACAGGTTGCCCAGAGAAGTTGTGGGTGCCCCACCCCTGGTCTAGTGGAGGGTGTCCCTGCCCATAACAGGGGCTTTAAGGTCCCTTCCAACCCAAACCCTTCTATGATTCTAAATACGTTCTTTTGTATAGCTTCCCAATTCCTTTTATCAAAGACAGAAATGCAACTGGTATATCAATAATACATTTAACCCAAATTTGCTATCCAAGTATCATAAACAGAACTAGTAAAGAATCCTGTGCACATACATATATATAAAATTACATATATAATATTGCTGTGATATAGTAATCACTATCACTTACCCTGACAACATCTCAAATATAAGAATTCCTAGGGCCCACCAATCCACAGCTCTTCCATGGCCTTTGCTTTGTATAACTTCTGGTGCAAGGTACTCAGGAGTGCCACAGAGTGTCCATGTCCTGGGAGGAAAAGAAGAAAAAGAACCCCACAAAAAGCCCACAACAAAACCAGACTGAAGTGAAACTGAAATAACAGTAATAAAAACCAAAACAAAAAACAATCACACAGACAGGAAGCATCCAACAGATGCCTATGTATTTATTTTTCAGAGGAACAAGACAAAAAAAGAAAGACCTCCACAAGATTTAAAAAGACTGCTTTGATGATGTTTTCCAATTCTCCTGTAACAGAGATACATGGAAATTAAGAAACTTCTTGGCTGCAAGAAACATCCATGCACTGAATTTCCCGACTGCTGGTGTGGTAATCTATCCATTAGTCTATACATTGCTTTGAAATTATTAACAGGTTTTCATCCTGTAAGCTGCAGACCCTAGGATTCATGGACTACTTCTGACAGGCACAGCAAAAGGCAAGCTTATGGGCTTTTTCCAGCAAAAGGAAAAAATTTTCTTTAGGTGAAAAAAAAAAAACCAAAAACAAAAAAGGAAAAAGGGAAGATAAAAAAATAGTAATTTTAATCCATAAAGAGCTATAGACATAAGTAAGATCTTTTTACAATCTAAGTAACGTTTTTCCAATAGTATTGAAACATAACCTGTCATCACTCCCACAATATCCATTAAAAGGAAAATAATTAAAACCACAAAATGTTTAAGATACTCACAAGGTGTAGTTAAGCAAGTGTGAGATATGGAAGTAATACTATTTTTGATATATTTTAATGTCATTTTTAGTCATATATTTCTTAATGTACATTCAAGATATAAAAGTGTTATATTGCTACCTAATTCAAATGTATATTTCAAGTTCTATAAATTCATGAAATAAATTGAAGCTGGGGAGTTAATGTTTACAAAGACCAAATTACCATTTGAAACACTGAATAATCTGAAACAATTTCTTCCAGAAATGTGAAATCTTTGTGAAAATACCCATACAGAATTTGCTTGGCTTCACTACCTTGACTTATGTTTAAATACATGCTAGAGAAAAAAAACATGCTTTCATTCTGAATAAATTACACTTCCCTGATAGTAAGTCCAAAGTGGAAACTGTAAAAAAATGCTCATCAATTCAAGACAGGATAAAATAACAACAGAAAATAAGGGGGGGGAAGCATAGTGCATTTTAAGAAGAGTTCCAGTAAGAAATTACAACAAATATAGTCACAAAATTAATGGTCACTGCACATGATTTCTAACTTGCAGCAAAAGAAACGCTAACTTTGTAAGTGCAGGAAGAATCTTCTCCCAGACATGAATCAAACTAGTAACACGGTTCTGAACAAATGCATTAAGATGAATAGCAATCACTTTTAGAAGCAATACATACTTCTTTCAACTTTTAGTTTTTCCTACCACTGTTCTGCTAAACTTAACTAACCTTCTTTTTCCTAACCAGAAGTGGATATTCAAGATGCACCTACAGGGCATAATCTTTTTTTTTTTTTTTAAAGACTAACTAATACACTTTTGAGATTGCAGAATTATTTTAAACAGTGCTTTTGACTGTTTTTTCTTTCTTTTTTTTCCTTTTGTTTGTTTGGTTTTTTTAAGCCTTAGCCTTGATTCATAAAAATAATTAAGATCAAGGAAGAGGAGCTGTACAGTCAGTCAAGACTTTAAATGAAGATTTATGATACACAGAATTAAATTTCTTTAGGCTTAATTTTAAGACAAAAGATAAATTACTCCAACTAAAGTGTCAGAATGCATTAGACACACTATGCACCCAAGTGCTCTGTGGTTCTTGAAACTACGTTATTAGTGTAAAGAACACATCTTCAATTTTTATCATAAAAGGGTGGCATAATTTTTATTGCTACAAAATTTAAACCCTCATTTTCCAAATCAAGCACAAGTAAAGAAAATTCTTATGTACAGCACTGCTTTACACACTACTGCCATCTAGCAGTTGCCTACATCAGTACTAGGTAATTAAGAAAAAACAACAAAGCTTTGCTGTCTTTTAAAACAAAATAGTCCCCCCCTCTCCCAAATTTAAAAAGCTGTATTGCAATCCATCATATGAATTTTTGTTCATACTGATTTAGCCAGCTCTACAAATGAGGCAGCTACCAGTTTTACTGTATTTGGGAAGGGCTGTACAAATAAAGCAGACAAGCCAGACAGTTTGTTTGCAGGACAATCCCCCCCTCAATGCTTTTCTCCCCCCAAAATTGCCAACACTATGAATATACAAATTCAACAAAGATGCAGTCTTTGGTGGCTTTCATCCCTTATCAAGATCGTTTAGGATACAAAAAAAAAAATCAGTTTAACACTTGACCATGACTTCCAGGACCCACATAGTTTGCTGGTGACAATGTAACTAAAATGCTCCTCGATTATCTTACAGGTTAATAACAAGATCTTTTTTATTTAAGCAAAAGGAAAACCGCAAATCCAGGAAAGGCCAACATAACTTGAAGTTCCCTAGTTGCACTACGAATTAAAAATTACCACCAGCAGGTCTTAGAAGTCTCTTAATTTCAATCAAGAAATTTATGGTTACTAACTACATAAAAACTTGGAAGAAGGTAAAATTCTTTGAGAGGCTGTGTATTTGTGCCATATAATCATGACTTGTATTTCCTCTTTTGTTGGTCATGAAGAACTATTTATTATTTTGGAAAACACATCAAGTAAATTCTATGAAAAGATCAAATTGTCTTAAGTATTTTTTAATTATTACTATTTCATGACTTGCATATTCATCTGAAACTCCAGATTATCCTTTTGAAAATAAATTAAAAAGCAGAAAAATAAGGATAGATTGTTTCCTTCAAACTGCTACAAAAATTCCACTGCTCTGGGTTCTCAAGATAAAGGCTGAAATACAGATAAGCAATAATTGATAAGGTTGAACATGTAATTTTAAAACATGAAAGTGAAACAAAGAATCTACTCTGGTCACAAAGATAAGCTATAAAATAATATTTGCGGGACTTGTTAACAGTATTATTCGAAGAAGTTAAGTCTCGATGATTAACGTATTTTAGCGTTCTACACTATTCAGGATCCATCTCTGTAGTCCCTGACAAGCTTCTTGCATATGAGCCAGAGATTAACAACAATGTCCTTTTTGGTGTTCTCTTCTGGAAGTTTCTCCATAATTACACTCAATAGAGATTGCTTTGTTTCCAGCCCACAAAAGTTTGTTCTGTGAGACAATCTTGCTTCTACAGTGACACACAATACACTTTACAAACAAGATTTGCTACTTCTTGTTTTGTTTTTTCCTTCTCTTCAAGTCCACTGTGCAGAATAGTCATGAGGTACATCCAGTTTAAGCAACAGTGCAGAAATATCCTCAAAATCTTTAAGGGGTTTTTTTTTGTTGTTAGGAATTTAAACTGAGCAAACTAAAATTAACAGTGAGTAAAGAGCACCTTAATTGTAGATAGACATAGTGAACACTTCATCCTTTCACACACCATAGTGGGAAGAAAGGAAAATGCTTACAGAAAAATCTCAATTAAGCAACTACAGAATCATTCATAGGAAACAATATGTATCAAGAAATATGTACTTGTATTGAAGGTCTTCTGCAGACCATGTTTTATTTTACATGTCATGTTTCTCTAGGAACACAGTTGTTGGTCTTCAGTGGCATGCTTCCTCACAGCCATTTGAAAAACTTATATACTTTGTGTATTATTTTCACAATTCATGCACTATATATATATGTGTATATATATACACACATACCCACGTACATACACGTAATGGTCACATGTTTAGATGTTTGCCATGTATAAAAATGACAAAACATCTCCTATACTTTAGGTCAAATAGTCTATGAAACAAAATAAGCTACTGGAGTACATTAGTGGATAAATTGCAGACAACTGTGTATTTTTTACAGGGACAAAAACAGCGTTGTGAAAATGACTACAGCTAGGAGGGTGAACACTATGTAGTCAGGGGGGGAATAAAAGAAAAATCAGACTTGCATAGGTAACTACCATGCTCTAATTGATAAAGTCCTCGCTCCTTCCAACTTTGTACTCTGCATTTTATATTATTTGTTGTACATTTAGAGGTAAAGCAGGTACTGAATATAAAACTACTACAGCGTTCTATGATTCAGTTCAACACAAACTGATCAACTTCACCCTCCCTGTATCTCTCCCCATGCGCAGCAAGACAGGATGCAAAAAAACCCCAACTAAAACCAGTAGTGGTAACTTGTTTTGTTGTCCTACAACATATTTGAACAAATTTACTTACAGACTCATCTTCCAGATTGAAAAATATACTTTGATGTGAACTATCACCTTATTTAATGAAGGGTTACTTCTGTTGTGCTTAAACCCACAGAAATCCAAATTAAGAATAACCACTAAGTGGCAGTATCTACATATGAGAAGGAAGTCATAAGAATTTGTATGAAAATGTCTTATAAAGAGATCACCCTACTTTTTTACATGGAAGTAGCCTTACCTCTTCCAGCAAAAAGTTATTCTGATTTAAAACCAAAATATTAAAAAAAAAAAAAAAGACACCAGCATTTGTAGACCTATCTGCTTGCCCAGTAGAAATTGAATTCAATCAAACATATTGATATTAAAACATGGTTTTAAAACAGACTTTTAGACCTTAAGGGTGAATAGAATCAGCATATTTCTTAGCTGCCTACAATTCTTCTGTGCTGAGGCAACCCAGCCAGCACTGCGAGCCTGTAACCCATAGGGAAGCAACCTTTATGACCTCCATAACACGACTTGATCTGTCACATCTGACTTTTACTTCCTAAGGGATCCATTAAGAGTAGATCCCTCAGATCCACCTTCATTTCAAATTGATCTTGTAGAATGCTGCCCCCACCATTCCCACCGAACTGCTGGAAAAGCAGCATCAAATAGGTAGAACAGATGAGCACCTGTGTGATGCTTAACTCGCTTACTAAGCTGCCTCAACTAGAACAATAAGATAGGTGGCCCAAGGGCATAATACCAAACCTTGTGACCCGCTTTTCTTTATGACAGGCTAGTTTTTTCCTCCCTTATTTTCAGTCCCAGTAATGGCTCTTCCCTCCTTTTAAGGAGGTGTATTATAATCTTGGAAGGGTAGTTCAAACAGAGAGAACCAAGAAATTACTGGGGAAAAAATCTCTGCATTATCAAAAAGGTTACATACACTGGTAAAACAGATAGAAGTATTCTAGAAGTTACAGTTAAATATACACTTCTGCTGAAGCTGGCCTTATTGTTTCTGTCTTTGCAGTTTCATTTTAGCAACAGGCTAGTGAAAATACAGTATCCAGTTTTAAAGTGTTATTCCCACATTTCAAAAATCTCTCTCAAAGAAGAGCAGAAGGAAACAACTTGTATGGAAGATCAATGTCTCATTTAACGTACTGATGTACACGTGTCAATATTTACTCATTTTACTTCACTGAACTCTCTTTTTACAAGATAACTGCTGACAACTTAAATATACATACCTACTCATATAAAATATTTTTCTATGGTAGCTTATCTGTAATATTGCTCCTAGTTATACCTAAGGTGTAATACTGATTTCCATACAGCTATTTTAAGACTGTCATTTCCTTCATATTGAAGGATTTGACATGCGTGAACCACACAGACTATTAAGTGAAATGCTGAGCTCTGAAATCAAACTTTTTTTTCTTCCAACTGTAATTACGTTTTGCACGTTAAAGCGTAACAAAAACCCACTTACCTATCCACCAGCTTTTTAGCAAATCCAAAATCAGTAAGCTTGATATGTCCTTCTTTGTCTAGTAATATGTTTTCAGGTTTTAAGTCCCTGTAAACTATTTCTTTGGAGTGCAAGTATTCTATTGCACAAATAATTTCTGTTGAGTAAAACAGTCCTGTGCTGTTGTTGAAACGCCCCATGTTGCGCAGATAACTAAAAAGTTCTCCTCCTGGCACATATTCCATTAACATGTATAAAAAACGTTCATCATGGTTGGTCCAAAATCTGTAATAAAAATATTATTTCATTGAATAAACAAATTCTCTCTCAATTCACTTTAGAAGTAAATTTCTGTAAAATTATCTCTGTTGCTCCAACTACATACATAATTAATTTATGGTTCTTATTCTGCAAATATTAAACTCCCGAGAATCTATTAGGATTACATAACAGACATTCAAGTAGGTGACTTAATCTCATAAGTAAAACAGATAGTTCAGGATGTGCACAGCACAGGCTAACAGAGACAATCTAAATGATAGACTTGGTTGCATTGTACAAAACAGGTCACTGCTAAGCACCTAATAACTGACGTAGCATACTGCCAGTCTGCTAAGAGCAGATAATTGTTACACACCTTACATGTTACTTAATCAAATATTGCCAAAGTGAAGGGAGGTAAGCAGAATATGCTTTTGTAAAAAGATGTTCATGACAATATGTTCAAAACCAGGATACCAGAGGGTTCTCCTTCCCCGCTCCTAATCCTTCCTCCCCAAAAATATATAACCCCAACCAATAAGCATCAGATTACAATGCTTATTCTTCTACAGTATCTTTAACAAACGCAAAAGAAAAGCAAAAATGACAGCAAACCAAGATTGATTTCTGTGCCTCAGAACTAACCTAATGAGAAATACCTTCCACACCTCAGACTGTTTCCCTTAATCTAAGAACTATTACTGTGGTACGTTCATTGCTAGTGCAGTAAAGAGCAGCTAAGGAAGAAAGAAAATCATTCCATGTGGCTTAAAATAAGTATCTGGTAATGTCTTGAAGAATACTCTACCATTTTAAAACGAACAGCTATCCCTATTACCACGATAACAGATAAAGAACACTGTATCCCTATCTACTTTAATGATACAAGGACAGAAGTTCCTTTAGTTTCTAATAACTGCTTCTGCAGCATCACAAGAATGGAAATATCAAATATCTTTTTCTTTTTTTTCCCCTTCATTAGCTGGTTCTTAATCAAGGCACAGAGTCTCAAGAAAGATAAGCAAAGCAAACTGAGCTCCCAAACCTATGAGGGACTTTTGCTCAGTAAGATTTTCTTTCTCGATACCAGCACTGAGGGCAACCAAGAAAATGAGACAGACTCAGACATCAGCAACAGTCCCTCCATTTCTTCAAAATGATGAAGGAACAGAGCCCATTCTTGCTTTTTGCCTTTACAGCACTACTTCCCTATCACAAAGTCATCAATATCATTAATTGGCTATTGATTATGTTCTAGTATCTTTATTGACTATGTAAAAACACTCCTGAGATATATAGGAATATATAGGAAGGATGAACACCAGAAATAAATTATGTGCATCATTACCTTAAAATTCTCCATCATAAAGTGCTAAAACTAGACCGTATTATGCTGCACTGGCACACAATCCTTGTTTTGCAACCAGAGGGAGATACTATCTATGCTTAAGGTGGTGACACTAATTGAAAATATAACAACCAGACTGTGTAGATAAAACAGTTCCAAGGCACTGAAGCAGAACTATATAGAAAAATTTTTCTCCTTTTTGCTGATCAATTGTAGTCAAAGAATTCATAGAACAAAACCACGTATTGGTCAGGGGAGGAGGTGGCTGAAAAAAGCTGTTAGCCACACAAAAAGCTGCAGGAAGCTTTATTTGTTATACAGTCAACGATAATCATACATGAATGCTTGTTTAACCTAAAGCACACAAATATTAACACGACAAAAATTTAACTACCTCATTTCAGCTAGGTTGCTTTGAGTCTCCTTTGACAAAGGACAAAGGCAGCACATGGACAATTACATGAGCATAGCTGATGCAGCATCTCATTGAACATGTCAACAGAAAAGACAGAGCTAGAAGACATGAAGAATCTTTGCCTTGCACACAAGTGAACTTCCATTTGAATTGTGTCCTTCCTTTGGCAACGTTAAAATCTGGTATTTTGGAAATAAGGCATGAACAAAATCCAGGAAAACTTATCAATTTGGATTTTTGATCACTTCTGTATGGACACAAATCGTCAAATCCCTGTCTTGGACTTCTCACCCAAGTTTATTCCTACACTTGCTGCACTGTTCTAGATGCACAGATGTACTGGGGTTTTTTTGTTTGGTTGGTTTTGGTAGGGGTTTTTTTTGGGGGTGGCGGTTGTGTTTTTCTTTTTAAATAATTTATGTATGTACAAAACCCTGTTCCATCTATTTTTAAATAGTCTAACCAGATGTACTCAGCCTCTCCATCTTGCTTTCCTACACGCATCTCAAGCTCCACATACCCTAGAACTCATCTTACTGATAGTATGCCACACACAGGATTTCTGAACAATGGCTGGAAACTAATAGCATCATGATGCTGGAAAAGGTAACAGCACACCAGGGAAGAAGCGTCCTTCTGCAGGGCTCTTTCCGTCTTTCGTATGCCTACCACGCTTTTGCCTCTTCTTTTCCCTGTGATACTTTCTTAGCCCTGGAAGGAGGCTGCACTGCGGGCAGCTAGAGATTAACTAAGGCTAATTTTGTCTATTTCTATGTAAAACTGATTAAGGCAGGTAAACACAAACCAAATCTTGGTCAATGGTCCTTTATCCATGCATGAGAAAATATAAATGGAAATTAACCATGCAATTAGCCAGAGGTTTAGTTATCCCGTTAATAAATACGGACTCAAATACACAAAAGGCACTGTAGTGCTGTGAACAGAAAAGCATGATGCCTTCTCTCCTTAATAAAGGGATCATTAGAATCATCACACTTCCACTAAAAAAAAAGTATTGTTCGTGAACTGTGTTTATAACATGTTTCTCAATAGGTTCCATCATTTAACCTCAAATATGGGAATAAAGAAACCCAAGAAGTGCTGCAGTCATTTAGCTCTTTGAAAATAAAGTTTGCAAAAGCAAAGTTCACAAAAGTTTTCAAAAAGCAGATATAGTCTAATTATATCTTTATCTACATATCCACAGGAAACATATGTAGAAATACTTGTTTTCTCACCATTCTAACATTAAGAATCATTGCAGAAGTAATTTTGATGAGACAATTCTAACATTTCATTAGTAATTTTCCTTTCACTTAAAAAAAATTCTCTTCTGCAGTAGGAAAGTAAGAGACAGAGTAAAGCTACAGCGTAAAAGTAAAACTTATAATAAATTATTGCTTAAATGTTTAAATTATGCCTCTTGACTTGAAATTCTTGCTTCTTCTATAATAATATTTTAGTCTGAAGTCTATTTTAGTCTAGACTACATAACAGAAATCAAATGCATGGTGTTGTTTAAGTACACAAGAACTTGCAATGAGACTCTGGAACACTTTAACTGCCCTTTATGTATGAGTTAGATGAATTTGAAAAATACAACAACTTACAATCTGATCAAAAAAGGGTGGTTAACCTCTTTCAAGACTGACTTTTCATTGTGCACATGTTGTTCTTGCTTCAGTCGAATGACATCAGGAATGCTCATTACTTTCAGTGCAAAGTAACGTTTGGCCATTTTTTCCTTCACCAGATGAACACGCCCAAAGGTACCCGTGCCTGGAAAGTCAAAGAAGAAACATCAACTTATTGTAAAAATGAAAAGAAAAAAAAAAAGGCAAAGATAATAAAAAAATTATAAAATAAAATTAAATCCTACAGGAACTCAGTTCCTGTGTTTTTGTTGTCGTCCCCAGTCATCTGTCCGGTCATGTCGTGTGTGTCGTCCCCCCGTCAATGTATCAGTATTACATTTTATACCTGGTTTTACACAATTTTTTTCTTGTGTTTTCTCAATTTTTAGTGATAATGACTTAGTAAGAATAATGGTATTGTGATACTGCCACTCTGGCTAGATACGGGAAACATTTCTTGCAAAGAGAAATGGTCCTGAGAAAGGTAAGGAAGATGTACAAAAAAACCAACTAAGTAATAAATAAGATTCAAATGCAGCCAATATAAATTAAACAAGCAAAACTGTTCTCAAGTGCAGAAGAAAGGCTGGGAGACATTCTCTTAAATTTCAGAGATCAGTTTTAACTTTGATCAGGTGGGGAGGGGGGGATAAACTCAAAAGTAGCATTCAGTTTATTATATCCACAGTGTGTGGCATAAAAGAAAAAAAAAATCATCACTGACCTAGGATGTAATGTTCAATGGTAATGGATTTAATAATTCCTCAACACAAAAAACTACTTTCCATATATTATTTATTAAACCAAGGTAGCTAAGAATTAATCAGGGTTTAAAATGTAAGAACTCATAACACAAAGAGTACAGAATAAACAGAAATTATGACAACAACAACAAAAAACCCAGCTGAGAGCAGCTGTCTGCAATTATTCATGTAAGGACATTATTCCCTTAAATGTGCACAGAGAGGTGAAGTGATTCAATAGAACACAGGAGTGATGGGAAAAATATACTGACCCTTCTAAAACAAAAAAAAAAATCTGCTTAGAGTGCCGCATCATTACATCACATGGAAACACTAGATTTCAGACACCTTTTGTTTGAAGTTAATGAATTCCTTTTTCAATTCACTCTTACAATATAAAAGGAAAATAAAAACATATTGTCTTTTAAATAATGTATTATACATTTCTCTATTCAATACAGTAATCATTGAAGTTCCTTTCAAGTGCATTGCACTCAAGACAATTATACATAGCTGAACTGAGGGTTTTTTTAGTTTGAAATTAAAGTTAAAACTAGCACATTTAGCCATGCTTCTATTTGTACTGCAGCATAGTGTTATACATTTGAAGATGAACACACATTTGAGCTCATTGGGTGGTTGTTCATTGTGTTTTCACTCATTAAACAATGCCATGTAGGTTCCATTAGAACAGTACACCAGATATTTTTAATTCTATTCTCTGACAGAAATATGTGCCACTATAAAGGACGCTTGGCATTCAAACCAATTGCCTAACTTGTAAAAGGTCACTCTCTTTTTGAGAAACGCCTTTCAAAAAAATCAAAACCTTATACTTAAGCTCACAATCATCCCCTTCATTGCACAAAGCCCAGGAAGGCAGCCCACAGACCTGTTTCAGCATTATTAACTGGTACGTCAATAGATTTCAGGTTGTGCAAACCAGTTACAATCAACCTATACTAAAAGACAATTTTCTAAGACATGTAGCAGGTGCAGGGAGATGATTACGTACATGAAAGGAAATAGATTTTTGAGAGGCAGCAGGGTGGGGGGGATATAAAAAATGAACTTCCAAAACTGCATTCCTTGAGGAGGGGAGAAAAAAACAAGGGAGTTTTCCCCTCTAGTACAGTCAAGTAACTTGAGAATTTAATTTAAAAAAAGAAATAAAATTGTTTTCTGTGTACGTATTCTCAGTTAAAACATTTAAATTTTGAGTTATTCTTTCCAGTCATTTGTAATATTGTTTAAGAACAAAACAAAATACTCATATTACAAACTAGAAACTAACAATTTCAGCAATCTAGTTTTATGGAACTTGCAGCTCTGGTATCAATACTGCTTTTGAAACTGGCTTTCGAGATAAAACTTCTCACTACACAAACCCATGAAGGATTACAGTTGTCCAACCACAAAAGATTCTATCAAAGTAGTGCTATGTTCCCACCTGTCCTGAGTTACAGTTCTTTAACCATGAAAACTGTGAACAGGTCTCAAATAAAGCCTGCTGTTACAGTGAAGTAAGCCACTAGGTTACCCTGGAAAATTTATCATGCAATTAAATCCTTTAACAATGCAGTCACATTACATGACTATACCTGTAAACAGTCTTATTTTCACAGGGATGGGCTCCTGCAGTAAAAAAAAAACAACATAGAAAAAAGTCCCAAAAGCTTCCAAGCAGAGCCATCTGTTCAAGCTACATAAAATACTTATTTACATCTTTGCTGAATGCATAGACAAAAAAAAATAACTTAGGTTATTTCAGAATTAGGAGCTGAAATTTAAGTTCTGAGTAAAAACACTGCCAAGAATAACTACAGGCTACTGCACACCAAAACTAAAAGGCATCTTAAATTTTAAAGACTTCTAAATGTGGACTCAGGGAAATTAACCATACCAACCCCAGAAGTAAGTGCTGGTTTATATGCATTTTGATACTTGTATGAACAAAGTGCTTCCATAGACATACTCAACAGGAAAGTCAGAAGTGAACACATACCTAATTGTTCCTAGGTGTCTAGTGATCTCAGGTTTCATGACTTGTTCTACTTGTGCTACAAATTTTTATTTTAGAATGCTTTAATTTTTCATTGTGCTATTGGTCTAACTTTACAAATGGTGCTGCTCAGAAACAACAACAGTAACAACAGTAGCAATCCCAAGTTCCATCCATTTTCAAAAGCAGGACCTGTCGGGGACTTATTTAGCAATAGTTCTAACTTTGGAAACATGGCCTCTTTAAAAACATCTCTGCCAGGAGCTGCAAAGCCTGGCAGGCTATTCCAGAGTAGTGGCAAGCACCTAATCTTGACAGCCTCCGGAAAAACCAGAAGACCACACAGACGGGTGAGAACATACAACCTCCCTAACCAGTTTTATTGCTGAACTGATTGCAGGCAGTCTTTTTTTCCAAACATCTTTAGCCCAATTTCAAGCAACTTACGGAAATCAAGAAGACAATACAGATCAAGAAGTCATCTAACATTTGTTTTCATACATCTCATAACATGAATTTTCTCCCATTCAAGCCTTCTCAGAAAATCCATTAGGCCTACATCAGTTGGTAGTGACAGTACCCAGACACACAACCACCACCCTTCCGGCACTTTTGACAAACAATATACTCTCTTAAAATCCTAAAGAAAATAACAGTGATGTCCTGGAATTTGCTTACACCATTTAAGCTGTTCAGTCAAACTCCTCTCACTGCAAATAGAAACAGAGAGAACATCGTGAGTACTATGTATTTTTTCAACCAAGAAAAAAAAAGACTTAAACCATGTGGGGCCATTAACAACGGGGAGCAGGGGAACTTGCTGAAACTTAAAACCAGTTGTATAGAAGTATGCAAATGGAGTTTAATTTATGCCTTTGCACAGCCACATACGGGACTAATTGTTGAGCTTTTTTTATGCTTAGCCAATCTTCAGACAACCAGCTAAAGTTTGCATACAAAGATGACTACAATTCAAATACCTCACTTCAAACTTTTGGTCTGGATCTCCTGCTTCTGTTTTTAGTCATTTCTGCAGAGATTTTTAAAATTCTCTTCCTTGCAAGTAGGGGGAGGAGGGGAGGAATGGGATGGGACCCGATGGTCAAGGTAGGAGGCTGCAATAAGGTATTGTTATGGTTGTTTAGCACAGTCAAGAAAATCTAGCTGTTGTATAAAATCAGTTCTTACTGTTCTGACTAGGTAGAAATTCTGCCCCTCACATTCATGGAAAGAAAAATAAAAAAATCGAAGCAGTGAAGTGGCAGCATGTAGGATAGAGGCTCAGCTCTACAAATTTGAGGGAAAGTTTCTGGAAGCAGAAAAAAGGCAGGGTTACTAGTCTTCTATCAAAGCACCACTGCCTCCTGCCCTCCAGGAAGGGGACACTAAGCTTATGAATAGTTTCTGTTAATACCCATGAAAGAACTGTTCAATTTTTTGCCCTGATCACCTCAGAGCTCAGCTGTGTGAACTGGCTAAATTCAATCTTTTGTGAGAGATAAGTGAACATTCCTCAGGATTACTTTAACATAGAAATTTTCTGTACTTGTCCATCTTGCACATAATAAAGAAAGGAAATACAGTGTTTACAGATTTGCACAATGTTCTACTGACATGTATTTAATGTTTAGTTAAAACCAAGAGAATTTGTGTACCATTCAGGATGAGCCCTGGGATCTACCAAGTACTATTCTGTTGAAGGAAGACTAGTAGCTACACACAGATGCATGCATACCCCTACCTGTCTCTTTTTATTATAGCATATAATGCCAGAGTTTTAGGACAAAAATGTACTTACATCAGAAAATTATATTTCACGAAAACAGTTGTTATTAGAAGGTCTACAGGAGGATTTGCAGTTTATTTGTTTTCCCCATGCTAAGGCATACAGCAAATGAAGGTTTCTGGCCACCAGTAACAAAAGCAAGTGAAGAGTGCCCATGCTATTTGCAACATGCAACAACACAATTGAAGATTTTCAGGACTAAACGGGCAAACAGAATAAAACACGCAAAATGTTAACCACTAATCCAGTATAATCTGTTTACAACAAAAACAATAAAATTTTTGGATGTCTTTGCAAATTTAATGTGGTTGCAGAACTTGAAGGAATGCCAGCAATCTTCTCAATTAGGTAAGCTCCTAATGTTAAACACACACAGAGGGAGGAGGCAAAAAACTGCAGAGGACTAGCTTGGCCTAGGTATCAAACGCAAGATGTGCATATTCAGTCTTACAAAACAAGCTGGATTCCCTAACGTCATGCCAAAATACCGTAGCCAGCTTTCAGGATTTTAGTCTCTTTGAAGCTTGGTAGAAAAGAATAAAGAATGTGGGAATATTTCTGATGCAATTTTAGATACTTTTGATGCTAAGGAAACCAATCCTGAAAGTTTTGAT